CTTCACAGCAAGTGTCTGTCTGTGACCACGATCTCACCTAGAGGAAGCCACGACCACGTGTCAGAGCAGGGAAAAAGACCACGGGTCGTGTTCGTCACCCGATGCGGCGTTCGCAAACGGAAGCAAAATTTGCGAACGCGGCTGTTCGCAAACCGAATTGTTTGTGAACAGAAGCATTCGTGAACCGAGGTATTACTGTATAATGTTTGTGGCTGTTGCGAAGATGCTACCTGTGATGATGGATCGTTAATTAGGGAAAATCTGTGTGCTCTCAAAAAGCAGCCTATTGAAATAGAGGGTGCTTTTTTCTCTTACCACAAGCAAACAGCAGGTCTTGCAACCCCTGACTTCTCCAGCACAGATGGAAGACTAATAACTAACTCCACTACAGTTCTCCCAGTGAGGTTGTTAGAAGAAAATAAGAAGTCAAAACTCTGCTTTCAGACTTGTCTTCATAGTGGCCTCTTGGGGATTTCTGCAGCACTTTACTATTCAGGTAGAAAAAGTGCTGAATGTGGCCTATTCTCCTTTTTCTCTGATTAATCAAACTTAGGGAGGCTGGTTTTTCACTCTCATATTTAAACGGTCACTGCTCATTCATGTGCCCATGATGTGTACAGAACAAACCTGAACTTGTTCATCACAGCTGGCTAGAGAAAGAGGTTCAGCGCTCATAATTCTGATCTCCAGAGTGCATAAACAACTCCAGCCTGACTTGCCATGACGCATTCAAATAACTCTGATCTGGGTGGAGGGGGGGGCTGCTTTCACAAAAATGTTTACCCCTTGCAAAGATATTCTTTCTAATCTGAGTTGCTGCAAGAAGGGGATGAATATTTTCCCCATTCATAAGGGCAGGAAACATTGCTTTTAGGGATGAAATGTTGTAACGCCTTCAGATAAATAAATCTGATAAGCTATTATGGCATAGCAATACTGGGCTGGCAAGAGGATCCCTGATTGGCTATATCCCCAAATCACTGTTTTACAAAATAAATGCACCAATCAAATTACGAGTAGAGGAATGAAGCAGTGTGAAAACCACCACCATCACCACCACCAAACAGGAAGTCATCATTTCTGTTCTCCCCTTCCCCTCTTTCCAGAGAGATTTAGCTCTGTCCTTGAGAAGGGGGTGGGAGAGGAAAAGCAGCTACTCAGCCCTAGGAAAACAGAAAGCATGAGAAAGAGACTCAGATCAGCCCTGCTTTGTCCTTGTTGTTCCTAAAAAGGAGTAGTCAAAGATGGGCTTCCAAGATTCTCTTAATATACCCTACAACAATAAAGGGGCATTCCTGGAATTCCTACCACGGCTGTTTATTGACTTGGTCTACTTCAAATGACTGATATCTAAATGCTTGCAGTACAGCAGAGATTGACTATAAGCAAAGGAGAGTAAGTTCAAAAATCAAACCATTGCTTGCTTTAATTATTCTTCTCGTTGGGAAATTGGAATATCTGAAGGACCCTGAGATCATCATTCTCCCATGGGTGAAAAAAATAGGACGGGTGTGTAAAAGAACTCACTTGAAGTCAAACTATTGATCCCCGTAATCTTTTGACTGGCAGCAGTTCTTCTAACACAGAATTTCCCCTTTATTTATTTATTTTACTCAGTCAATTTTTATGTTTGCCCATCTCACCTAAGGACTCGGAGTGGCTAACGATATAAACAGCAAAGTAAAAACAGGAAAAAAAATTAAATACACAGCAGCCAAGAAAAAGCATAGCCACAAGTAAGTTAGCCTTCACACACTTGGGGCTCCAGGCTGTAAGATGCCAAGAATCAATATTAAGAACCTATCTTTATGTATATGCTTGATGTCTACTAAATGATGGATCTTGTTTCTCTTAAGACATGGGCCTTCCTTAAAATTTTCCACAGCGTTAAAAGATGGAGGTATGGATGGTCCCTGGTCAGTAAGAGTTCAGGGTTGTCCTTCATTAACAAGCCCACAGAAAGTGAATCTGTTTCCAGATCTAGTGCCTCAATTATGGTCCCAATTCTAAATTGGTTTGTTTGTTTGGAATGTGCTGATTTAGCAGAGGCCACTCACCCTGAAGATGAAATGTAAATGTT